AATTCCTCAATACTGAATTCTATCTTCTATTCATAATGAAGCACACCAGTAAATGGAAACCATAGTCGTAGATAGTGGATCCAGCCACACTATCTTAAGAAACAAAAGTTACTTCATAAACCTAACCTATCAAACCGCAAATATTAGCACCATCGCGGGTCCCTCAAACCTTATCGAAGGATATGGCCATGCCTATGTGTTGCTATCAAATGGCACACAACTTGAAATACCAGATGCTCTATATTCTCCTAGTTCGAAGAGAAATCTTCTGAGCTTCAAGGATATAAGACAGAATGGTTTCCACATAGAAACCCAAGGTCAAGGGAACAAAGAATCCCTCCTAGTCACTAAAACCGTAGACGGCCATAAACAAATCCTCGAAACCATACCCGCGCTCTCTACTGGACTTTACCATGCTAAAGTCAGTATGATTGAAGCTAATACCACTCTCAAAGCCCGGTTTACTGATTATACTATTTGGCACGACCGGCTCGGTCATCTCGGTGCAAATATGATGCGTAAACTAATTCAAAACTCTCAAGGGCATACCCTCAAAGAAAACCGAGCTTATCCTCAACACCTCATGTGCACAGCTTGTTCTCAAGGCAAATTGATCACTCGGCCTTCACCAGTTAAAATCTCTAACCAAACACTTCATTTCCTAGAAAGAATCCAGGGCGATATCTGTGGACCTATACATCCATCTTCCGGACCATTCCGGTACTTCATGGTCCTTATAGACGCATCGACCCGTTGGTCATATGTTTGTCTCTTGTCCTCTCGGAACCAAGCCTTCGCTAGGTTCTTGGCCCAAATCATAAAATTGCGGGCCCATTTCCCTGACTTCCCACTAAAGACTATCCGCCTTGACAATGCTGGTGAATTTACCTCACAAGCGTTTGATGACTACTGTATGGCCATGGGGGTAACCGTGGAACATCCTGTAGCACATGTCCATACCCAAAATGGATTGGCTGAATCATTCATTAAACGCATTCAATGGATAGCCCGACCATTACTCATGAGATCAAAGCTCCCGGCCTCAGCATGGGGACATGCAGTATTACATGCTGCTGAACTCATACGCATCCGGCCATCTAGTGAACACAAATATTCCCCATCTCAACTACTCTCGGGTCATGAGCCAGACATCTCCCATCTCAAAACATTTGGGTGTTCAGTATATGTACCCATTGCTCCACCACATCGAACCAAAATGGGACCTCAAAGAAGGATGGGAATATATGTTGGTTTTGACTCTCCCACCATCATAAGATATCTCGAGCCAACCACTGGAGATCTCTTCAAGGCCAGATATGCGGATTGCCAATTCGATGAATCGGTATATCCCTCTTTAGGTGGTGAGACAAACAAGCTGGTCAAAGATCTTTCATGGAATCAAACATCATTAAATTGGCAAGATCCTCGGACTCTAGAATGTGATTCAGAGATCCAAAAGATTATTCATTATCAAAAGCTAGCTAATCAATTGCCAGATTTCTTTGCTGACCGGACCAAAGTAACCAAATCGTACATCCCAGCTTGTAATGCACTAGTACGAATAGCTGTCCCAACGGGACAGACCCAAGTTGCTACAGAGTCTGCACCACGTCTCAAACGGGGCAGACCTCTCGGTTCCAAAGATAAGAATCCCCGGAAATCAAAGAAAGGTGCAATAACCGAAACCGGGATTCCTGCAATATCAGACATAGCCGCGGCTGAGACTCAATCTAATGAACCCTCAATGGAAGTTCGGGACGCCGAATCTCCAGGTTCAGAAGATAACAATGAGATCTCCATCAATTACAATATGTCCGGAATACAATGGAATCGAAAAGAAGTCGACTTAAATGCACTCTTTGCATACAAAGTAGCACTTGATGTTGCGCTCACGCAAGAGGATCTAGAACCCACGTCAATAACACAGTGTACACATCGAACAGATTGGCTAAAAATGGAAAGAAGCCATAAACGTGGAGTTAAAGAGTCTCAAACTCAGAAACGTGTTCGGTCCGATCATCCGGACCCCATCACACATCAAGCCAGTGGGCCACAAATGGGTCTTTGTGCGCAAAAGGAACGAACTCGGTGAAGTCGTTCGATACAAAGCACGGCTTGTAGCACAAGGATTCTCACAGAGACCCGGAATCGATTATGAGGAGACTTATTCTCCAGTGGTGGATGCAACAACATTCCGATTCCTCATAAGTCTAGCCATAAGAGAAAATCTTGATCTGCGGTTAATAGATGTTGTAACCGCATATCTCTATGGGCCCCTGGACAACGAAATATATATGAGACTCCCAGATGGCATTGAACTAAAAAACAAAAATGCATCTCGAGATCAATACTGCATCAGGCTGAACAAATCCTTGTATGGACTGAAACAAAGTGGGCGTATGTGGTACAACCGCCTCAGCGATTACCTCATCAAAGAAGGCTACAAAAATGACCCCATCAGTCCATGCATCTTCATCAAGAAGTACTCAAACAAAGGATTTGTAATCATAGCAGTATACGTGGATGATCTAAACATCCTCGGAACATCTGGTGAGATCTCCCAAACAGTCGACTGCTTAAAAGCAGAATTCGAAATGAAAGACCTAGGCAAAACAAAGTACTGTTTGGGATTACAACTTGAGTACATCAAAGGAGGAATCCTTGTGCATCAATCGGCTTATATCGAAAAGGTACTCAAGCAATTTAATATGGACCAAGCTCACCCATTGACCAGCCCAATGGTAGTTAGAAGCTTAAGTGATGACCCTCTTGGTCCCAAAAAGGATGATGAAGAAATCCTTGGTCCTGAAAAGCCATACCTCAGTGCTGTAGGAGCGTTAATGTACCTGGCTAGTCACACTAGACCAGACATATGTTTCGCCGTGAACCTCCTCGCTCGATATAGTTCATCTCCAACTCAGAGGCACTGGAACGGTATAAAACATCTCCTAAGATACCTTCGAGGTACTCAAGACTTAGGACTCTTCTATACTAACCAAAATAAAGATGGGTTAGTCGGCTTCGCCGATGCAGGATATCTATCAGATCCGCACACTGCCAAGTCTCAAACTGGCTACGTTTTTACGCATGGAGGAACAGCCATCTCTTGGAGATCAATGAAGCAGACACTCACTGCCACTTCATCAAACCATGCTGAAATCCTAGCCATTCATGAGGCTAGTAGGGAATGCGTCTGGCTGCGCTCCATGACTCAGCACATCCGCAGAGATTGTGGTATGGACGAAGACACACAGCCCACGGTGATGTATGAAGACAACGCGGCATGCATAGCTCAGCTCAAGGAAGGATATATCAAAGGAGATCGGACGAAGCACATTCTACCGAAGTTCTTCTCAACCTCAGACTGGCAGAAGGACGGCACTCTCAGCGTTCAGCAGGTCTGATCCAGTGAGAATTCAGCTGACCTCTTCACCAAATCATTGCCTACTTCAACACACCGGAAGCTCGTCAAACAGATAGGAATGTATAGACTTAGAGATCTGCAGTGATGCTACAATCAGGGGGAGTAATGCGTGTTGTACTCTTTTTCCTTCACCATGGTTTTGTCCCATTGGGTTTTTCCTGGTAAGGTTTTAATGAGGCAACATTCCCAGCGCATTATCGAGATCCCGATTGAGTAGCTGACCCGGTTCACTCGTCCAAGGGGGAGTGTTATAACAAATATCATATATGGACTCTTATACCGGCCCATTAGGCCCATCAGGGCATTGTACTTAACCTAGATTCCCTATGTACTCTATATATACATTCCAGTGATTAATAAAGTTTCTAAGTTTTCACAACACGTTATCAGCACGATAAGACTCTCTGAGCGAATAACAAAATTTTAAGGATTCATTTCAGCAAAGTTCGACAAGATATAAGTTATCTTTTTTAAGTAGTTACATTAGATGGCAATATTAATTAATATGATAATTACAAAACGACAATGAAATTTCCTTGTCCAATGAACAAAATGGGTTGAAATATATTTTGAATGGTTTAACCCTTATGATTGAATTGTTATAGGATGCATAATTTTTCATGTTACATAATATTTATATATATGGATGGACATATCCATGTTTCATGAAAAAACAAGTTAAGTTGGATTAAACCTATATGCGAAACTACAATTCTTTCGAAATGTTTTTTATTCACGTTACTTTGTTTTGTTTAATTTATCGAAGAGAATTCTTTAAAAGTTTATTTTGATGATTGCCCTTATGCTGTTCAGAATCATAATAAATGTGATGAGTGATTAATAATGTATGCCAAAAGAAATTTTATTAAGTATGGATACAATTGTTTAAGCATTTCCAATATCGGATATAAACACTGTCAAATTAGGCTATTGGGTACTACATAACAGGGTTTTATGTCAAAAGCGCCGACATTTCAAGGTCTTAATGTTATCCATTTGCTTTACAATCGTAATGTTATCCATTTGCTTTACATCGTTGAAGAAACCATGTGACCTTGTCCATCAAATATTAAACATTTCTCTGGCAAGTGATATCGATATGCTTAACTTACAACTCACGGCTAAATTTTGAACAATTGCTTGTGGCACTCATTGTCGAGGTGTGGAACGGAGGCATATTATTAGATATCCTATGGGTAAACCTAGATTACTTGTTTTACAAAATGCATGATGCCACCGGAGTAACGAATATAAATTTTACGGTTTCTATGGAAAGCAAGAAATGACAAGGTCTACGCTAATGTTGATCGATATCCACTGCATATTTTAAGACATGCGATGAGTTAAGTCTTAACATGGTGGGAGTAACAAGAAGAGTCTGTGCAGGAAACTGTTGTTCTGATTATATGTATGACCGATTGTACATGAAAACATATGTCAAAACTGATGGTTTAAGGAAGGCCAATATTCACCTTAGGGATGGTAGAAATTCTATAAAGTTTGTCTGGGAGTATAACTTTGACATTTGGAGTGGCTCTTCTAGAAGCGGGGAAGGCTCTGTCTGCTACATTAGGACTACAGAGCTAAGAGACTCTGAGCATGAAAGATAACCCAATAGCTTTTGAAAATCAAAATTAGTGTCACTGTGTCAGTCTGTGGCTTCAATCAGTGATACCTATTTGGATATAACACACACACACACAGAGAAAAAGATCACACCATCGTTTCCTAGTTTAACATGTAAAAAAAAAAGACAGAAAAGAGCAATTAGATTAAGATATTATAAGGTTCCTTATACAGGTTAAGTGCAGGCAAATTTCATGTACACAGTAATGTGAGAGGCAAGATTCAAGAGACGAATGAGCCATTTACCTTGAATGATTTTTCTACATACACTCACTTTTTCAAGTACAAAGGTCAAACGGCAAAGCAATATATTGCAGGGCTTGACTGATTGATTACCAATTGTAAGCTATAGGGTTGTGTTTCATCAAACTTCTTCGGCTTCTCTCTCTAATCTAATCAACTCCTGCAATTAAGGACCCCCATAGATTCATCATAACCATGCTCAAATCAACATCTTATAAACTCGTGCAAAATTATTGGTTTTTTTTTACTTTTTTTTACCTTTTTTCTGGCAGCAAGAGTCTGTCTTTGCCTTTCTTTCTTTTCTCGGAGGCATTGACCACACCAGTCCGGGAATTCCTTCTGATAGGTTTTTATCTCTCTAAACGCAGAGCTGCAATGGAAAAACAGGAGAAATGTAATTTCAATTGTGATCTGAAATCCTGAGGCAAGCTTCTCTATTGTTTACCTTCTGCACCAAAGAATCATATTGACACGATGACCAGATGTCGTGGCTCTGGCACCATGGCGGTGGCGGCCACGGTGAAGTACAGCTTGACCCGGTTTATGACAGTAATCAAATGTCTCCTGCTTTGATGAAGAAATAGTAGTCTACTTTATTACTTAGCCATTTTTCCATGTACAGAATACTGGAATGTAATACAACAAATTAAGCTCCTCAAAAGGAATCACAAACCTCTGACTTTGTGTCTGTATTCACATGTTTCTCGCATCGTGTGCCTCTGAAATATAATTCCCCTCCCACAAATTCTTTACCCAAACAAACATTCAATGTTACTTCTGAATCATCCACATGAAAGCCTGCAGACGATACAGAATATGTTTGCATTTCAGGAAATATCGTAAGGTCCTATGAGAATTTAGAAGAATTGTTGTTTCAGAGTGATAGCAGAAAAATCAAGAGGACTCACCTAAGTCAGCATCCCTATCTTTACCATATTCAACAACAAACCCATGGTGAGAGTCTAGAGTTGATCCACACACATCAGGGAATAATTCTGCAAAACAACAGAGTATCAAATGCGGTTTCCAATAAAAGTCTTTTCTAATGCATTTAAGTCATATATTGCCTTGCCTTCGGAAATAGGACGGATAAAATCCTCCCTGATGCTTTCAAGCATGCTATCCAGGCCAAAGTCGTCAAGCACAGCACCGTAGTTACTCATGGTGTTTGGTCTTACGATCCGAAACTTTATCTCTTTAACCCACTTTCTGAAATTTTCTACCTGTTTCATCAAAGAGCAACACATTACACAAAACAAAGTGGTAGGTAAGAGCACGGCAGAGAACAAGTGCAAGATGATGGATTATTTACCTCCGATAGCATCATCTCACAGAACTTGGGCTGAAGCATATCAAAGACTAAAACACCCGGAGACGGCTCAGAAATTATGCTTTTTAAGCTTGTCGCCTTTTTTTCAATCTTTTTGTCTCTTAATCTTTCTTCGTTGATCGCCTTCAGGAAAGAGGGAACGAAAAAGAACGTGGGGTCAAGAGTATACAACTCCTTGTGAAGTGGCTGCAGAAGGAAACATCTCAAAACTTTGGCATAAACAAGTCTAAGAAACAAAAAGACAATACAAGCAAAAAGATTGAACAAAGCTTATATCATCTTCTCACCTGGTAATTGGATATTATCTTCTGCTTATATTCCATGTGCCTTTTAGCCTGGAGCATTACATGAACATGAAACTATTCTAAAACTTAATGGAGAATTTTTATTCAACTAAAGTAACCAGATTTTGGGTCTTAACTAGAAAAAGCTAAATATTATACTAGCAAATTCATATTTCCAAGACAATAGATTCACCATCGTAAAACATAGATTCAGAATTGAAGAAGTTGCAAAAAGAGAGAAATCAGAAGTTGAGGAAAGAGCATTACTCTGGCACGCTCTTCACGAGGAAGGTACTTGAGTATAATTCCCGACATGAATTTCGCCTTGTCGTCTCTGTTCGAGCTTAGCATATTCAGCGGCAAGTACCTCTCCAGGGAGCTGAAAATGCAAGGGCTAAACTCAAGCTGCAGATCGTCGTAGTTATCCGGTCTGTGCTCGTTGTTAGGGTTCGGCCTCAGCCTCAGATCAGGCATCACCGTCACCTCCGCCGCAGCTTTCACCGGAGGAGTAACTCCACCTCCAACAGTTCCGTCACCGACCACCGTCATCTCTCGCCGATCACTTGACATTCGAATTCAAGTGAGAAACTAACTCTCTACACACTGCATTTGCGAACGATACAGCGAAGAAGTCAAAATCGAACCTTCTTTTACCTCTCGATTTGGGGATTTCTAATTTTGGGTTTCCCGTTGGAGTTAGGGTTTCATTGTTACTTTTTTTTTTTTAACTTAACTTAAGAAAGATAGTCACGAAATTGCCGATTGCACGCGATGTTTATTGACGAGTTTTGACCAAGCGGATGATTCTGTGGATTATCGGCCCATTGTAAGGGCCCATCGAACCGGATATTTAAAATTAACGGTATTTTCCGGTTGAGACGCATTTTTTCATATTTTCCTGGTTGATATCGATCAAGAAACTGATTAGTATTTAGCTTAATGAGGGAGATTATTTAATTGGTTGCGCTAAAAAATTTCAGTAAATTGGTTATAAAGTTGTAGGAAATAAAAAGATTTCTAAGAAAAAAGCAACAAACTTGACTTTATTTAGATATTCGTCAAATGTTTGTGTTTATTCTACTATATGCTCGAAAGAGGCAAAATCCCGAGAAATCTAGAATTTTTAAGTAAATCCACTAGATTTTGCGTCCGTCCACGCTACGCGTGGGTATTTTATTGATAAAAAATTATATGTAATTTGCTATATTTATTAAGATATAAATTTTATATATTAGTGTTTTAATAATATATTAAAAATATTATAATATTAATCTAATAATTTTTATGTAAATTGTGAGGTTTTATCAGTTTTGTTTTGAATCTATATACAGTATGTCGTATTTAAAAAACGTATTATTTGGTCAAACACTTATAAGCTAATATACCAAAACCAACTAAAATTATTAAAATTAATAAAATAGAAATTTTTCAACATAGTATTGACATGATGATAAAATATTATACATTCATTTTTTTGAATCAAGATGATAATTTTTTCCATCATTTTTACTTTTATTCTAATTATATATGTGTTCTTTAAAATAATAAAAAACAATAAAATTTGATATTTAATATTTTTCTTCTATTTGTTAACCAATAACAAATTTTTCTTTTGATATATTAATTTAAAAAACAAACTAATAAATAAAATATTTGTTTTGAGATTAATAGAAAATTTAAATTTGAAACTAAAACAATAGTTGAATATGAAATGAATAAAATCAAACAAAGTTTATAAATTAAATATATTTTTATCAATTGGTTGTGTAAACTTTTTAATAATTTTTCAATGATTATAAGTCATCTCTTCTAATAAGAATGAATTTTTTTTCATCATGTTCATTTTTATTCTTGTTATATTTGTATTTTCAATGAATATATGATATTTATTTATTGTTAATGATTTTTGTATGATTATATTCAGTTTTATCATATTCATTCTCACTCTTCTACTTATAATTAAGTAGGCAAAACCGATACAATTTAATACATACAAATTTTAAAAAATAAAATAACAAATTGAACAACTTAAACTAAGAACTTCTATATTAATCTATTGCAATTCCAAGTCGAATATACAAAATGTAAATTTTTGATCATTTTTCGCAAAATATATTACATGAGATTATGTGGAAATATGTTTTTTATATGTGAAAAAAACTTAGATGAATATAAATCATAATTATTAGTTATTAATTTTATGTGAAAAGCTTTAAAATCAAGTATCTTAAACTTGCATAAGTAGCATATATTTTTTAATAGATAATAAATTAAATTTGTAACTTAAACAATAATAATGGAGATTTTAATATCATGTTGGATTTTTTTTGTTAATAGAGATTTCTTTATTTTTAATTTATTTTGTTAACCATAATATTAGAATATGATTTTTTATAATATAAAATTTTCATATATGAATAAAATTAAATTTTTAAAAGTTGATTTGGATACTTTGAAAATAGTATAGATTTAACTGTTATCATATATATTATAAGCAAAGTAAAATTTTGAGTTAAAGCTCTCTTATTCAATTTTAGGGTGGCTAATTACCCTTTACCCCTTCTTATATTTTTTAAATTAATTTTAAATTATTTAAAAAATTTAAATTAATTCAAAAATATAAAAAATCGTAATTAAATAAAAATATTAAAAATCGTAAGTAAATAAAATGTTAAAATCGTAAATTAATATTAAAAACTGTTAAAATCGAAATTTAATAAAAAAAACATTTAAATTTAATAAAAATTATTAAAAAACGAAATTTAATCAAAAATATTTAAAATAGAAAATAACGAAAATTTAAAAATTAGAATTTAATCAAAAAATATTTAGAATCATATCATATATAATATATGCAAAGTAAATTTTTCGCTATAAGGTCTCTCATTCTATCTAGGTAACTAATTCCCCTTTATTCATTAATAAAATATTTTTAATTCCCTTTTATTCGTTAATCGGATTATCTGTTGAGCGAGATTATCTGGAAAAAAAATGTACATGTGATGTGGGAAATCCTAGCTTAAGTTGAGAGCTATATATAAATATATTACTTTTTTAAATGTATCTTATGCTCAATTGTGGTTTGGTTTCTATATTGGTCGGTTTTTTGTTGTATTGTTTACCGTCTTTTTTTTATAAATCAATTTTTTGTTTTTTCTATTTTTTTTCGTTTTTTTCAGTACCAGTAGTAGTGTTCCTCGATTATATGTTGTTGTTTTGTGTTGTCAGTTATTCTTCCTTACTTAACGTTATTAAAAAACCATGTCAACATATCATAAATCATCTTCATTGTCTAATGAACATGTTTTAAGTCTTTTATTTTTTTGCTTGTTTTAAAGATGGCTTTCTGAATTCTGTTTATTTTTGAAATAATGTAAGAGATGCCAAATACTCTAGCAGGACGTAGAGGAAAAAACCAAAAAAGAAAACAGAAAAAGGGAAAAAGGGAAAAACGAAGTAGAAAAAGAAGAGAAAAAGATAAACTGAAACATATAGAAGAACATAGAGTTGACGAAAACGTAAAAAAATGAGGAAAAAATGAACAAAAAGTCCTAGACCATGAACGATAAGATCAAGATGGGTAACACAAAATAGTGAAAAAGAAAAATGATAAGGAGATGAAGAACTCAAAGTTGAAGAAGAAAACTGAAAGAAAAAAGAAGAACAAAAATGGTAGATGACGAAAATAAAGTATAAGAAGATGAAAACCCGACGATGAAAAAGAAAATAAAAAAAGAAGAAAGTAAAGATGCAAAAAGGACAAACAAAAATTAGAAAGAAAAAAAGTTTGGATAGGACAAAAATGACCAAGAAGAAGTAAAAAGCGGAAGATAAAAACGAATAATAAAACTAAAAGAAGAATAGTAGAAGATGTTGAAGAATAAGAATTTAGAGAATACAAAGACAATAAAATAAAACAAAGAAGAAGGGGCAAACAAATAAAACAAAAAAATCAACAGAAAAAAACGAAGAAAAAAACGAATGAAAAAAAAAATCAAGAAGTCAAAGAAGATTAATACAATACATAAGAAGAAATAGTCAAAAAAAATGAAAGATAAGAAGGAAAAAACAAAGAATAGAAAGTTAAAAATTAAGAAAAGGAGAAGATTAAGAAATCAACGATAATGTGAACAAAAAAA